GCTAAAAACTGAAGCCAATATGGAAGTGCTACAAACTGCACTTCTTTCAATGGAAGAGCAGAGCAGAGCTTCAGAAACCTATGGGTAACATCACGGAGACTGTGTCCATCTTTATATATAGTCTTTGCTTTAATTCAATCCGGTGTCCTAGGAAGGACATTCACTGGATGATTCAGCAACAGTGACCAATGCCATTGTTCAGAGCCAGTGTTGGAAGCAGTCTGTCATTTATGTAGCAAAGCAGATTGTGGTGGATAGGCACGTAACGAGTCCAACTTCCATGTCAGTGTTTGAATTCACATTTGCCTTTTTATGAGCTTTATCCACATAGTTTCTCTAACTATAACTGTAGTTGCCATGTGTATAAAACTTGTACAAATATTGCCACAGGGTTTTTGCAGAGTTGTGCAATACTGATGTCGTTGTCTGGCAGGAGGATTTATTTAATTGGTGTGGACCACTTTCCCAGAAATTGTTCCCCTCTGTATATCTCAGTTGTTTTCTGCTACAAAAGCTTTTTCTTTCTTTTTCCAGCCAACTCACACATGAAAGGAACGTGTTGAAGTTTAAAATGTGATACTCACATTTCAATTGGATGTTCATGTCATGAAACAAGATTGTCTGGATCTAATTCATAGTCTAGGCTGGTGTTGTACTTGGGGTTGTTTTGCAGAGTTTACCACATTGTAGACATAATAAACTGTGTCTGCATTTTGCATTTCTGATCTGCGAATATGCACTGTGAAAAAATCATTTTGAAGGCAGTGGAGCACAGCACAGTGCATTTTAATCGACTTTCCTGCCTGCTTTGGCCTGGTTAGGTGCTGCTGGAGGACACTGGCTGATTTAATTGAATTTTAGTCAGAACGATGAAGAATTCCTCCATAAATGTGCATAAATAGAACTGGTAAGATACTGGAGACTATGTACATTCAACACTGGCTTTAATAGGCATACAGTCTAATAAAAGTAATCTGTGAATTATCGGTCATCACATATACTAACCCATAATGGCCCTCAACTCAAAATATTCGATTAAAGATGGCACCAGTTAAAAATACCATCCGTGTATTGTATGTTTCAAATCTCCTCACAGTACATAGAGAAACTGCGGTTGCTTGTAAACATCCTGGAATAACCTTGTTAGCACTTATTGCCATTACTTGTGTTTAATTGAAAGCCATTGTCCCTCTTGAGCGTCATGAGTCACCCAAGCAGAAAGGGCCTAGAGTTTATTTCCATTGCTTTCTGCCTATGTTAGTAAATTACACACACAAAACACAGCTTGGTGGATGAAAGGGGGAATTGTTTTCTAATTTTGTGTCTATGATAAAACATGACTTGTCTTGATTATGGAGCAGATTGTTGGTCTGCTGGTCCTCTGTAGTGTCTTTAATGCTGCAAGAAATAGTATGTGACAATTTTTGAGAAATTCCAGAATAGCATGCATTTTTTATTTATTATTATTTTTTACTATGACTCAGTCAAGCCAAAGGACCGATTCCTTCTCTGTGCCTGAAATGTTTTATTTTTTCTTAAGTCTAGTTAACTCTGTGAGAGACACAAGAAAGCAAAGCAAAGTTTAACATTAAACCATAGCACATTTGTGAAACCAAATAAATGATAGCAGAACAGAAAAAACAGTAAAGACATTGATTAACAAATGTTCACTAGGAGTCAAGGATACATTGATTAGATTTTGCTGGTCAAAGGTCAATGTCACGGTATACTCATAAAACATGATTTTGGCCTTGTGAACGCAATATCTTGAGAACTCCTCAAGAGAATTCCTTCAAATTTGGCACAAATTTTCACAAACTGATTACATTTTGGTGGTCAAAGGTCAAAGGTCAAGGTCAGTGTGACCTCACAAACACTTTATCCAGCCACTCCCTGAGACTTCACACAGCAATTATGACAAAATGTCACACAAATGGTTCATATTCTCTATGACTCTGGATAAACAGGGATGTACCCTAGAACTAGTGGTGGAGGCCGACAACCACGAGGTGGTGATTCTAGCCTACAGCTCGCTTTGATAAGGCTTTCTCTTTGTCATAAATTAGGTCATCTCCAGTCAGAGAAACTGAATGATAAGGGTTTTTTCTCCCTGACATACAAAAGGGGCTCTATACGTCCATTAAACATTTGGTTACTTAAATATCACGAACTGTGCCTGTGGGTAATATTGTCGGAACACATTCCTGGTGCTTCAAAATGTATGATTTATTTGTTTAGCAACAAATATGGCAACGTTACCTGAACTATGCATAGTGGTTAAGTTAGTGAGTACCCATAATGTAAAATTGTAAATGTTAGTACTGATGATCGCACTTTTGATTTCAGCTTATAGATTCTTCACAGAGACCTTTTGACTTGTTAAGCCACAAATAGCACATGTGTAAATTACAATTACATTAACAATGGCATCATTCCATTAAGTGTCCCGGTATGTTAGTGAGTGAGTGTGAACAATCCCGCAGTCCTGGTACTGGATCACCTAAATGGAACGCAGAAATTATTAACATTACTTGGTATTACATGGATGGTAAAATCTGGTGCTGGATGAGTAACATGCAGTGGGTTTTTAGATATTTTTCACTAAAAATAACTGCCTGCTGTGGCTGCCACTGAAATTATGAGAGGGATGACAGTTAACCAAAACAGTGAAGATGTGGGCAGGAAGGCCAAAACAATGAGCTGAGGGTTTCTGTAAAGCCTGTGTAGTGCTTCACACTTGGGCGATGCTTCTCTGTGGGTTCATCACTGAGCGACCTCTTTCACATACATGTAGTCATGCACTGACTGCCTGTTTATACTGAGGGGAAGATGGAGAGAAGAGGTGGGATCATCAACAGAGAGGTGAAGTTGTGTTTCATCAAATCATACCACAGGCTGTGAGGGAGGTAGCGATCTACTCTGTTTGAACTCTGACTGCCTGAGAGTCACACAAATACTTCTGGATGGGACAACTGTGACCAAAGTTCGCTTGAAACTTAACTCTTCATTAAGAAACCTTACTGCTTTACCTGTGAATATTCATTGGTCCTGCTTTGACTTGACCTGCATCTGTCTTTGCTGCTTCTATTAAAAAAAAATGGCACCAGTTTACTTATGGACTTGAGATGGATTTGATTCAAGCGTTGGTGGATTGTGTGACACTGTTGCCATGTTTAGTGTTTGACTCAGCCGAGGTCTCAGTCCACAGTCAGCAGACAAACTGTGGCTCAGTCCAAGCACCTGGGAATTCCTGGATCAAAGCTATGAATCACTCATCATGTGTTTTTAACACTTTTCAACACAGTGGGTTTTCTTGGGTTATGTCCATAGTGAAATGTTAGTGGTAAAGTTGTTTTGTTAGGATTCACACAATATTATAATATTATATATGTAGCTGTTTGTAGTCTACAGGAGCCAGTCCAGACTGTGGTTTGCCCTCAGTTCCTTTTGTTATTATCAGCTTTCCGAGCATGAGACACCACTGGCTGGCATCATTTCCAGTCAGAGGTGTGTTGATGTAGTACCACTGTTTCATTCCTAACAAACTGTTCCATGTTTTTCCTAGAGCAGAAGTGAGACTTTACATTTTAGGTGTTACTTGTGTTACTTGGAGGCCAATTGGTGTTGTTCTCCCTTGGCCAAACAGTGAAGTCACCAGAGTTGATGCTTTTGTGTCAATATGAAGGTTTTTGAAAAATGAATGAATATAACATGATGAGTTTACAAGACCATCTCTAACTTACTACAACACAGGTCCTAAGGAGCATACAGATGCAGCTTCATAGCCTCCTGCATCAGCAAGACTGAATCTGATTGGCTGACAGACGTTTATGGTGCCATTGGAGGGAAGAGTGAGAGAGGAGGATTAGATCAGTGGAAGTGAGAGCAGGGTGATGATGACGTTGTTCTTGTCATTTCCAGTGTCCCCTCTCAGGGGTTTTGCCCACAGCACATCAGTGTTTGGACAAGCCAAAAGACAGGAAATAGATGTGACAACATGTTCCAGTTGTGCCAAGCATTTTTCACTCCTCAGTGGGACAACCAAAGTCATCCTCTTGTCCTCATCCTCTTTCCTGTTATACTAGAAATGGCCCTCAACAAACTGACTTTTATGTGCGTCTGTTCTCTAGATAGCAGCTCGTAACAAGACTGCATACGATTCTGTTTTAAACAACAAAACCAAAAATCAGAAACACCTTATGTAATGAAGCACTGTAAATCAGCACCACAAAGTTCTGCCTAAATAATGCTGTTGAGTTGAATCAGCACCTCTGTGACAGAAGCAGTAAAACAATAACACCATAAGTAGGAGTGTAACTCACAATTATCTTTTATGAATTAATATATTGATTCTTTATCATCGGGATTAATCATTTGGTCTGCAGCCTAAAACAGCCTAAAACCCAAAAGATATTCAATTTATGATGATATAAAAGCAACAAATCTTCACAATTGTGGAGCTGGAAAAAAATGTCTTTCTTCTTCTCATCAACTACACAATTACTTTACTGATTGTTTCAGCACCAATTCTAAACTTCACAAAATGTGATCTATTTAGGATGATCCTGTTGGATTGATTGTATTGTTTCTGTTGTTTTGTTCATCTACTGTAGCATTTTGGTGTAACTTCAGTATTTATAGCTCCCTGCTTAACCGTGACCATCAGAGCAGTTTGGGTTCACCTTTTGTAATTCACTTTTTTCTGTGAAAACGCAGTTGCACATGACTAGGTTTTTGATATTCCCTGTCATTTCACTCGCAGCATTTTTTAGAATTAGCCCTGCTGACTTGTTACTGTTTAACCACATGAGATGGATGGCTTTTTGTATTAACAGTAATAGTTAAACTGTTGTAATTAATGTAACCCTATTAGTCCTGGGATGAGGGATTATGTATGATTAAGGATTATTTTGAATTGGACTGTCTAATATAATTTTCTTTACACCCTCGCTTCCTCCCTCTGATCACTCTGCCTCCCTCTTTTCTTTCCCCCTCACCAGCCTCAGGATTGTAAAGGAACTGGCCCGGCTCTTCCATCCTCCCCCTTTAATTTCCCACAGTGTGGCATCACTATGTCCTTTCCCTGCTGTGCCCAACACATGGAGAGTGCACGCCCACCCAGATAGGATGCCTGCCTTGCCCACTGCCCTGCATCCCCTCCTGCCCATCACCACCTCCTCCTTCTCCTCGCGTGTACCTGCTCTTGCCAACAGTTCCTTGAGGCGCCCAAGGTTCCACCCTGCCCCACTCCAACATGGTGGATGAGGTAACCACCATGAAGGATGAGGTCATCAACGCCAACACGCTGCCTTGGCTGGTCTGCTCAGGCGTGTCCATCCTGGCCAATACTTGGAGCATCCTTAGTGTCAGTGCCAAGCAGAAAAAGTGGAAGCCGCTGGAGTTCCTCATCTGCACCCTGGCAGGCACGCACATCCTCAACATGGCCATCCCCATCACCATGTACTGTGTCATAATGCTGCGCCGTCAGCACTCCAACTACGAGTGGAACGAGGGTCTGTGCAAGGTGTTTGTCTCCACCTTCTACACTCTCACTTTGGTCACCTGCTTCTCCGTCACCTCGCTCTCTTATCACCGCATGTGGATGGTGCGCTGGCCTGTAAACTACAGGTAAGATCGTTTCTGATTGTGGCGTTACAAAATTGTTCTGTTTATGCACAGGGTAGTGCCATTTTTAAAGGGTTATTTCAGCCAAATGACAAACTTACCTCTTGTACAGTATAGACAGATATCACACTTGTAGATATAATTTTGTTTTTACTTGCCCAGGTTTTAGACATCTGCCTCTGAGATTTCTTCCTTGAATATTTATTTTTATTTGTGGTCCTTCTAGCACAAAAATGGCATTGAAAATTCTACAGCAACATTCTTTCCATAGACAGTGTTCTGGTTACTCTAAATTATACAAAGACCTTGCTGTAAAAAGTGTTTATTTGTAGTACATTTCACTGAAGAAGTGGTCGCCATTAAAACTGCTGACTGTGGATTATGTCCATGGCTAGATACCGCAAGAGGAGAGAGAGAAAATATGTTTATCATTTAAGGTGAACTGACCCTTTAAGATGCGTCTGAACATTTCATCACACGCATTTAAACTTGGTATGTTAGCTTTAAATATGTAGGTTTTTCATATGTAGGTTCACATCAAGGTGTTTTACTCAGCAAGATACTGTAGAGACACTGATGTACTGAAAACAGATTCTGATCTGCTCACCACTGTTTTTGCTTTTTTTTATATTCAGCCATTCATTTTTCTCAAATACTCAGCAATAGAATTTGTATAAAGACATTTTAACCTCCTGCGCAGCTTTCCATAAACACATCTACCAAAGAACCTGAGTAAGGCAACATTGTGGCTTTTAAGATTTATGCATTTCTGAGCTGATTCAGATGGGATGGGACTGCTGTTTAGATAATTGTCACTTGTTAGATTGTTTACCACCGTTTTTGAGAGGGATGCTCTGCATCAGGTGAAATCGCCCTCCTGCCAACACATCTGCTGGTTGCAGTTATTTGGGGTAATACCATGTAAAACCCTCTAGACTGAGCATCTGCCAACGCTAGCTTCTAGCTTCATTTGGCTCCTCACAACAAGTGATATTACAAAGTAACACTGAATAATGAAGATCTGGTTCACCTCGCATTAACAGTCAGCACCCTCCTGCAGTAACACCATTTTGGTCTCGTTAGACTCCCCAAGACATCTGCTGTTCACACATAATCAGATGTTCTGAGCAACATTGCTGCTTCCTTCACAACAAGATTTTGATGCTATTTCTGTCTGTATTCAGGGATGCATAACAGCTGCTTTAACATGACCTGTGCTGATGATTATTAAACAGAAGCCATTATTTTTGTGCGAATAAGATCCAATTCTTTGGAATGTTCACTTTTACAAACACATTTAATGAATAATACTATTATGTTGGCATTTTTCTTTACACCATTCACATGAATAAGGAGAAAATCTGTTTAGATTGTTTTGATTTCAACATTTTTACACTCTGATTTCAATACCAGGGATTTATTGTACGATGTGTTTGATTTAGTCTGCTATGTTATCTGCAATGATACATGATAATGATAGTTGCACAGTAATACATCTAAAAGCATATTGATCACATACAATGATCAATATGCAAATTGTAATTTGTGCATCTTAAGAACATCTCACCTTGAAGCACGTCTCAGGGATCTTGGCCTGGTGCAGTCCAGCTGTTATTCGCACAGAACAATCACTTGCAGATGAATGCATTTCTAGAGCAAATACTGTGGCAAAGGCACATATGAAACCAGTGTTCATATCTGCTGAATACAAACAAGCTGCTGTGTGTGTTATTGAAATGGCGCAGAAACTGGTGCTGTGGTACATGTGGTGAGAATCAGTATTCTGTTGCCTCACTCTCCCTACCTTTCTGGAAAACAAAGAGTGATTGTACTTCCTGTGGCATCAGGCCTGCAGATGCTCAGCCTACTGTCAGCTTGGCCAATTCTGCAGCACCATGGAGATAAGCAGACATTCAAACAATATATGCAAACTTCCTTTTAAATCTATGCTCAATCTTGATATCAATATTGTTTGTGCAGCTGTCACTATTGGCAGTTGCCCACACAGAGATATCAGGCTTTACATAAATGCTGTTATCTTCCTCGTCTGTTCGCTCACTCATCTGACTGTACTGTCTCATTTCCTATCTGGAAACACTGACTTTCTTCTCAGCAGCTCGTCTACTTGTTTCCAAGTCACTTTAAACAACGATATGGTACACTGATAGCTCAGGTGATGCACCGTGTAATTGCTGTTCATCTTTGATGTAAATTGCTCCACTTTTGCCCTCCTGAGCTAGCATGGCTGCCTTGTCGCTGACATTAACACACACTGAAGGCCTGAATTATGAATTCAAACCTTGTACTTCGGCAGCTGTTCTCATCACCCTGCACTCACTATCTCTTAGGAGCATTTTCCCTCACAACGCTCTTTCTCTGGTAATAGATTCAAGCAGCTTGGTGACGTAACCTCCACATCATATGCACCTCAGGCACATTCAGGAAAGGCTAGCATTATTACTCACTGTGACAACAAGACCCACTTGTCTTTGCACAAAGCCATAGTGCAAAGATAGAGGCTACTGCTGCTCCCTCTGTGCCACTCATATTGTGTCAGCTAATGCATTACTAGTTCTATATATTTTTAACTGTGTGTGTGTGTGTGTGTGTGTGTGGGGGGGGGTCATTCAGAGGATTTTAATGAGAGGAAGAAGAGGATAGGCAACATGCTCTGGTTCTCTTGAGAGAGACAGATTGGGTTTCCTGCCAAAACTGCTCCCAGACACTTAATAGGATTTACTGTCTTCCTTCGCAACCACAAATGAAATGAAACAGGAGACGTACATTCATGTAAACTGTAGCATTCTGCCTACATGCCACTTGCTATTATATCCACTTTTAATGGAGTCCAGTTTATAGACACTGGACTGAAGTGACTAAAAAGGTGTTTCAAAAATCATGTAATAGACTGAGTCTACATATTCTGCAAGCCCCAAAGCCTCTCTCTATGATTTGTTGCTGATACCTTGAACAGCTCAGCACTACTTTAGGTGCAAATGTTTTGGCAGGATAGCACAGTCTTTCATCAAGTTTTGGAAATGTGAACACCTATCACCTCCTGCCATATTTTTAGATGTACGTGTGCTGTTGCAAACCTTGAAAAGTACCACACCGCCAGAGGACACATACACATTCAGCAAATTCCTCGACTGTAACAATTACTTGGAGGTGAGAGGAAATAGAAATCCCTTCACACTGAAATAGACCTAGATGACAAATAGACCGAGGGATGTGAAAAGCAATCTTTTGCCATCAGCAAAGCATTGATTTCCCACCATTCAACTCCAGTTTATCAAAGTGATGACTGTGTGGGGTGGTGCTTTTTTCAACTTATATGTCTCAGGTGCAGATCTACCATTTTATGGCATTTACAAAAATTTGCCATAACTTAGGTATTTTGTAGGTTTACGAAGGTACTTTATGCCAACATACTTAATTTACCATCTGTCTGTGAGTTCACAAACAGGTGAGTGGTGTGAGTTGGTGGCCTTTGATATGTCCTAACATCACAGCATGTACTGTCAGTATTAGTGGTCCAAGCACCTGCACAGTTTGTGATAAAAGTCTAAGCAGAAGTTGTGTCGTGATTTTTTTCAGATCCAACAGTATCAGTTTCAAGGTCCACAAGTTTAAAACCTTTACAGGATGTGCACAGCAGAAAAAAAGCCAAAGCCAATTGCACTTGAAGGTCTTAGAATAGATCAACTTCCTTTATGATAAAATCTATGGTTCTGCTTCCAGGTTGAGTAACACCAAGAAGCAGGCGGTGCACACAGTGATGGGCATCTGGATGGTCTCCTTCATCCTGTCCACGCTTCCAGCAGTGGGATGGCATGACACAATCGACCGCTTCTACACTTCTGACTGCAGATTCATTGTGACGGAGATTGGCCTGGGCTTTGGCGTGTGCTTTCTGCTGCTGATTGGTGGCAGCGTGGCCATGGGTGTGATCTGCATTGGCATTGCTCTCTTCCAGACCTTCTCCATTCAGGCGGGCCACAATGCAGACAAGAACAAGTTCAATGTCCCCACCATAGTTGTGGAGGATGCCCAGGGGAAGCGCAGATCATCCATTGATGGATCAGAGCCTCTCAAGACGTCGCTGCAGATCACCTACCTAATCAGTGGTATCGTCTTCATCTACGACTTCCTGACTGGCTTCCCCATCCTGGTGAGTCCACAGCCTAAACACACAGTTACCGATGGAGTTGGTTCATTACATTTTATTTATAAAGCACTTTTCTTAATACACAAAGATGCTTTACATGGGTTAAAATGAACACAGAAACATACTGAAAATATACAACACACAACATTATTACATATTAAAAGCAGTTCTGAAAGGGATTTGAACATGGACAGATCAGTGCAGTCTCTGATGTGTTTGGGGAGAGAGTTCCATAGGGAGGGGGCAGCTATGGAAAAGGCTTTGTCGCCCCAGGTCCGGTGCTTGGTCCTGAGTGGTGGAGACAGGAGGTTGGCATCAGATGAGCGTAGGGAGTGTAGTGATGGAGCAAGTCAGTGAGTAAGGAGGGGGCCTGGTTATGGAGGGCTTTGTAAGCTTTGTTAGTGAGGAGGACTTTGAATTGAATCCGTTGTGGGACAGGGAGCCAGTGAAGTTTCTGGAGGACGGGGATGATATGGTCATGGGAGCAGGTGAAGAGTGGGTGAGCAGGCCAGCAGCAGAGTTCTGGATATAATGGAGTTTGTTTAGGACTTTGGATGATGAGCCGTAGAGAATGCTGTTGCAGTAGACTATTCTGGATGTGATTAAGGCATGGAAAGGCAAAGTTTCAGCAGCAGAGAAAGAGAGTGAAAGGCGGAGATGAGCTATGTTTTTTAGGTGGAAAAAGGCAATTCTGGTAATTTGATTGACATGGTGCTCAAATGAGAGGCTGATGTCCAAAATGACTCCAGGTTGTGGGTGTGTGGAGGGAGACAGGGTGAAGTTGTCAGTAGTGAGGCAGAAGTTGTGAGTGGTTTTGGTGAGGGACTTAGGACCAACGATGACCGTGTCTGATTTATCACAGTTCAGTTTGAGGAAGTTGGTTTGCATCCATGACTTCATTTCAGTGAGGGAGCTGGTCAGAGTGGAATGGGTTATAGTTGCAATGGATTTTGTGGAGATGTAGAGCTGGACATCACGGGCGTGGCAGTGGAAGTGGAGACCATGACGGCATATGATGTTACCAAGGAGAGAGGACCAAGGACCAAACCCTGGGGGACGCCTTTGAACAGAGGAGCGGTGGAGGAGGTGCAGTTGTTGATGTTGATGAACTGTTGTCTGTTTGTGAGTTATGACCTTAGCCAGGAGAGGGCTGAACCAGTGATGTCGAAGGAGCATTCAAGGCGGGAGAGAAGAATGGTGTGGTCGATGGTGTTGAAAGCTGCAGTGTGGTAGTGGTCAGGTTGTGGTAGATGGTGTTACGTGCAGCTATTGGATCGCTATTGTGCACCGTTCGCTGGGGTTTTGTTTTGTACTCTCTCACTCTCTCACTCCCTCTCTCCCAACCTGGTCCTTGTTTTCCAGCGTGTGCCAGGCTGCTGGTTTTTGTTGTTTTTGTTTCTTATTTTAGGTATGGGGGTTGGAGATCACCGGTTGTTCAGTTATTGGTTTTTGTTGTGGTTTAAGTTAGTTTTGAGATAGGCAGTATAGAGGGGAGTCACTGAGTGCAACTGCCCATGGCGAGGCTGGCTCAGCAGCCTCCCCTTCTTTTGTTCTTTTTGGCCAGGATCTCCACCCCTCTTTAGTTTCCTGTAGTTTTGTTGAGTACATTATACTTTTGCTATGTTTAAAATTTACTACTACTACTTTAAAACGTATTCTTAATTTGGCATCTCTGTCTGGCGTCCTTCTACATGTTCCGGTCTCCAGTAGTTCTGGTAATGGTTAGGCCGTAACAGATGGTATCAATTTTGGTTTGGAAAAATGTAAGGAAAGAATTGCAAGAATTGTCAACTCTGAAGGAGTTGGAGGTGTTGTGACTGGGTTTGAGAAGTTTGTTTATTGTGGAAAAGAGAGCCATGGGGTTAGTGGGTCCAGAGTGTATGAGAGTGTCTTTGTATCGTAGGATGTAGTCTGTGTAGGCTTGGAGATGCACTGTTAAACCAGTTTTCTTGTAAAGTCTTTCAAGCTGGCGTTTGCAGGAATTCATTCTGCAGAGTTCAGGAGTATACCAGGGAGCTGAGCGTGTGAATAAGACTGTTTTGGTTTTGACGGGAGCCAGCTGATCAAGACAGGAGAAGAGTGTGTCGTTGTAGTAGCTGACAAGACTTGAGGGGTTATCAGGCAGCGGGGGAGGGGAGGCAGACATTTTACTTTCAAGAGCGGCAGAAAGAGCTGAGGGGGAGATGGATTTGAGATTTCTGAAGGAGATCTTGCGTTTCTTTTGGGATGGGGATGGTTTCAATGTCCAAAGTGATTGCCAGGTGGTCAGAGATGTTGAGGTTGAGGCTGGAGAGTTGATGTGTTGTAAGACCAGTGGAACAGACCAGATCCAGGATGTGACCATGACTGTGAGTGGGGAAGTTGATATGTTATGTAAAGTTGATGCATTGCAGCAGTTCCAGGAATTCTATGGCAGATTTACAGTCGGTGTCATCATTGTGGAGATTGAGGTCACCAAGGGAGGAAAAGGAGGGGTTTGGCTTGGGTAGTTAATAGCAGTGACCAGAGGAGTGGGACCAGAGAGTTTGATGATGAGATGTTCAAAAGAACGAGCAGCAGGAATGGAGACGATGGTTGTTTTAATGTCTTTCCTGTAAACAGCAGCAACTCCACCTCCCCGCCCTTCAGGACGAAGAGGTTTATCAATGTATGTGAATCCTGTAGGTGTGGTCTGAGAAGTAGTCCAGTGGTTTTTGCCAGGTTTCAATGAGGCAGAGAAAATCCAGGTTACTGTCAGTTATAAATGAATTCAGGATGAGGCTTTTATTGTTGAGTGAGCGAGTGTTGTGCGAAGCCAGTTTCAGGTGACGTTGCTTTGTGTTAGGTTGTGAAGACGGAGGGAGGGGACAGAGATTGGACAGATTCACATGTTGTTTGTTGTGATGATATTATGAGGAAGTTGGGGTGCGACAGAACCAGAGAGATGGGATAGAGTTTGGGGATGTTGTGTACGATGTTGTAGGTAAACATAGGGACACGGCCTCTGTGTAGAGGATGGCCTCTGCGAAGTATTCCAGCTTCCTTGAAAATGTCCATGCCGTCCGGGACAAAGTTGGTTGTTGAGATTGTGAAGCTCTTAAGTGGAGCGGCATGGTCTGGTTGGAGCGTGCTCAAGCTTATAGCCTGTAGCCGGGTGTCCAGGGAAGGAGAAGCGGTGTGCATCTGTTACGCCTCACCTTTAAGCGGCCCTAAGGGGCGCACAAATCTCCACCAGTGACCCAACAAACTCATAACACTCCTCTAAAATAATGAAGGCTTTATTTAACATAGATGTACAAAAGGATCAGGACACTAAATTAAAACAACAAAAGACACAAAAAGACACAAGAGAAGACAACAAAAATCTCAGGTTGAGACGCAGCAAAACAAATATCACAGAACAAACATCACTGCATTTACCCACAACAACCAGTACAGGTGACCAACACAAAAGTGCCACACCAAGTCACCCCAATTAGATGAAGTACAAAGTTGTTGCCATATCCCAACAGCAACACAAAGACCCAACAAAAGTGAACTGCCACTACCACAACAGAAAATGGACACCAGGTGGCCTTCAACCACATCCACAAGCTACTGTGGTAAATGTTGATAACCTAGCAAAACACACTGATGTGATGAACTGGGAGGCCAACCCACCACACTAAGATCCAATGAGCTGTGGAGTGACTATATCCCCCCCCCAACAAATGTTGAGTGCAGATACCACAACAAAAGGTCACACACCACCAGTTACTGCACCGAAAAGTATTTATCACAGCTACACAAGACAAAGCTAAAGAACTTGAGATAGAGTCAACCCACAAAAGACATTGCAATTAAGCTTTAAGACAAGGCCCACTGCCACACACAGACAGCGTACCCACACCCAGGTATACCACGAAAAATCAAAAAGACAAAACAACAAAGTGGCCAGACTCAGTCTGCCCGATGACTACCTGATCAGGGTGCTCTCAAGCAAACTCCCAGTCACTAAAGTGAACATCTGGATCAGTTGTGGCTGAGTGTGTAAACATCTGTTTCTTTCTGTTAAACACTTACTTCCAGTTTAGAGGCCGGTATTTCCTAGATCTCAAAGATTCTTCTGTCTATTTGTATCAAAAAATGTTTTAACTTGCTCACAAAGTTTCAACTGTATTACCCAACGCAAACAAGCAAGGTAGCTGCAAGGAACACATGTCCTTGTTTGTTTTCTCAGGACATGTTCAATTATTATGGAAATGTAAAGTTATTGTTGCATGTAATATATCGTTATTATACAATGTAAGTATAAAACAATGCAAAAACATTCAATTTTGTTTATTTAAAAACTATTGTGACTGCTTTGCAGTGTAGCTTTAAACCTGACAGCCCAAAATAAAGTCATATGGTGAATTAAGGTTTGTACACATATAAACTAAGTTTACTCGTGTTATGATTATGACTTGAGTCAGTTATGAGGTTAATTAAGTTCCAGCGTGTGTCTCCCCATTGCTGTATTTTTGTGGCCTTTCTTTATACTACTCACAGTAACAACTTTCAGTATTATCATATGAGTCAGATGGTGTATGTTGCAAATTGTTGGCCCCTCTTAGAAAACAGCCACACATACTAACATAAACTGTTGGCAGCCAATGGCAGCCATTTTTGTTACCTCTTCGTCACTCAGACTGTTTGCTGAGGATGAGGGAGATTAATTGAGTCAGCACTGGAGAGAGAGAGAGAGAGAGAGAGAGAGAAGGAGGGAGAGAGAGAGAGAGAGAGAGAGAGAGAGAGAGAGAGAGAGAGAGAGAGAGAGAGACTAGTTTTCTTGGGGTAAAAATAGAAAAAATAAAGTGAAAAGAACAGTTTGAGAGAGGAGTTTATCCACTGTAGCCCCTGTAACGTGCTGTTTTATTATTTACATGAACTTCAATGTTTCTGCTCATGTGGAGCTGTAAGTAGGTCAGACTGAACGCGTATGGACAGTATATATGTCTTTATATACAGTGTATAGTGTGTATATTGGAGGAGGGGTAAAGTGA